GAAGATCAAAGAGTTAAATATCACTTTATCAGTTTTCTTAAAAATTATATTTTAAGCCAGGTGGTGGTGGCACACACCTTTAATCCCAGCACTCAGGAGGCAGAAGCAGGTGGGCCTCTGTGAGTTTGAGGCCAGCCTGATCTACAGGGTGAGATCCAGGAAAGGCACCAAAACTACACAGAGAAACCCTGTTTCAAAAAACCAAAAAACCAAACCAAACCAAACCAAAACAACAACAACAACAACAACAACAATAACAAAAAAAAACCACTATATAGGATGATATTGCTCCTGTCAAGAACCGTAGACAATTTATAAAAAATCCCAGGTCCAGGAATGTGATACCTTTCTTTGAATTATTAGTCATGGCAGTCGAATCAAAATAGAACAGGCTATTGACATTATCCTTGTTTGCTCCCTGATACATGAAGATAAGACCCTATTGTCAAACTTCATATATTGCAGACATAGGACTTGGAGAAATCAAGCTGGAACTGACTAGGAAGACTCCTCCCTAACGACTAGATCTCATAGGATTATGAGGTGGCATGAGAACTTATAAAAGAGGAAATCAAACAATAGTTCAACCATGCTGTAAAACCTACAAGCCACAAGAATGTACACCCTGGAAAATGGTACAATAATGGCATTTTTATCTTATGGTGACTAACAGCTGTCTAATTGGATACAATTAGCTGTCTAATTGGATCCCTTTCTGATGGGAGGAACTCATGCCTGCATTCTAAATGTTTCTTCTTACATTTGAGAAAATATATATCATTTCTTATGAAATAAATTTCTGTTTGGAGCAGGTTGAGCCTACTCTGAAAGTCTATAAGTTGTCAAGGTGTAATAAGTGACTGTGAAGATGAAGTTGCCCAAGCCCATGAATTTTATCCACAATATAACCTCAGGGAATATTATGTAAAGTGGGCAGAAAGACTGTAAGATCCAGAGGACCAGAAAAACTGCTGCTAGATAGTGTCTTCTAGATATGAAAGGGAGGCTACATCCATACAATGTCAACAAAATGATTGCTTAAACAAGACTTGTATAATGATAACACCTGTAGAGCTGCCAATGTGAGTAGGAGAAATCCCATAGAGTTTCACTCCTAGATGAAGAGCTATGAGCAATCAATGGCTGCTGAAAGAGGGAGAATCAGTCTTCTTCAGGAATGGCTGAGAGAAGGAGAATCAGTCTTCTTCAGGAATGATTCCCTGACAGGTTATTAAACCCAAGCTAGTCAGCCTTAAAAACATGTACTTAAGAAGAGCACTAAAAATCTCAGTAGGCTGTATACATACATATAGATACACTTATCATGTATTATTAACAAAAAAGGTATTGGTGAAATTATTAAGGCCACTCCACATAGTTAAAAGGGAGGTTTATTTAGTGGTGTAACTTACAAATCAAGGGATAGGTAGGTTGCAGGGTCTAGGAAAGGCATGGCACGGTCCAGCAGTGTTCTCTGGAGAACTCTGCTCAGTCTACCTCCAGCGTCCAGGGTCCAGGAACCAAGAGAAATGGCGCATCTGGATCTCTGGTTTTCAGGGTCCTCTCTTGGTCCTGCCTTGCAGGCATGAAAGTTACCGAAGCCTCAATGGGGGTTGGAATTTCCAGATCAAGGTTGGAATGGCTACCCACTATAAAAGGGTTCTTGAATTTGAAAGAGAGTAGGGGACACACAACACGTTGTGGTAGAAAGGGCATGAAAATATGTAAATTCAGTACTCATGTAATACATTCAAAAAATAATATTGTATTCCAACATAGAGTTAAGAGGGACCCCCAAGGAACCACTCTATCCGAGGCATTCTTGGTAGTAGATGGTTGCTGGGGAGGGAGACTGAATTTTCACTGGGGGTATGGCCACTGGTAGGTAGGTTTTCTGTATCCAAAGAATGACCCAAAACCTGTGAACATGTCATCAGCATCAACAGGTCTCAACTGGAGTCTCTTGCTACTGAGTCTGAACACCTGAGTTCCATTTCTGAGATTCACACAGTATAAGGACAGAACTGCCTCCTCAAATTTGTTCTCTGACCACTGCAGGTGCACTGTTGTTGATGTGTGCATCATCCCCTCACCTACACAAGTATGTAAATAATGAAGAAAACATCTGGACATCTCAGGGATTTAGAAAACAAGAAACACAGCCAAAATCACAATTGGTAGAAGGGAATAAGTAATAAAGATCAGAGAAGACACAATGAAGATTCAAACACAACAGTGATGAACAATACCAAGAACTGCTTCTTAGAAAAGAGACACACAGACACATACAGACACAGAGAATTATACATGAAATGAAAACTTAGCAAAAACAGTGACACTGAGTCCATAATTAAATTATCAGTATAAGAAAAGCTCTGAAGTACACAGTTCACTTGTCAGTTCCATCTACCATTTAAAGAGGACAGACATGTTCCATTAAATGCCACAGACTAGTATCTTTGAAAAAAAAGCACTTGCAAAAACATTAAAGAAAATAGCAATAAAGCAAATCCAACCGTTCCTTGGAGAGATTTTTCACCTCAATATTTGCAGCTCATTGCATTACAAAGGTGCTTCAGCATAGGCTGAGCAGAAACTGTGCTGGATTAGTTTTTGCTTCATTGTGACCAAACATTTTACAGAATAACTAGAGAGGAATGGTTTACTTACATTTATGCTGTGAGGATTTAGCCCATGCACATGAGCAGAATACAATGGAAGTGAGAGCACAGAGCAGAAGATGAAGGTCAAACTCTGGAAGACAGGATGCAGACTATGACAGGAAGGACAAGTCATTCCTCCCAGTGACTTACTTCTTTAGTACATTCTGGCTTCTAAAGTTCCTGTGATCTCCCCAAGTAGCTCCAGCATCTGGAGAGGAAGTATTTAAAGCATCTAAGCCTATAGAGTGTTTTCCATACTCAAACCTTAACATTCTGCTCTTGACCCTAGAGGGTCATGTGCATTTCAGAATGTCAGATGCATTTAGTTATGTTCACAGCAGGGCCCATGTACTCTCCTCCCAAATTCCTCTTTGATTATCTTGGCCATGTTTGTACACCAAGCAGCTGTGTCACTTTTCAGAGGAAATGAGAATAAACACCTACTTACCCAAGAAACCCATAAAGAGCAAAGAAAGAATTCTACCAGAGTTCAGTTTGGTGAACCACCTAGTTTATTGGAGCATATTATAGTGTTAGGAGTGAAGGATTAGTAATAGTAGAGTGTGGAAGAAAGACCTCACCGGAGCATGGGTGACACAGGGACATCTGCACCTTAAAAAGGCCACCCCAGCATGGATGACAACTCATGAAACCTGCAGTCTTGGAGCTCCCTGCTGGACTAAAGGCAGGAGAACATGTTCATTCTGAGTCTTCCCCAGGGTGCCTCACCTGGTGAGAGAGCCTAAGGAGCCTCCTTCCTTCCTCTAGGAGGGACTGCTTCAGTTAGAAGGGACTTGCTTCACAGCAGCTGCTTTGAGATTCCTGGAAATAGGAGCCATTATTTGACCTTAAAATAGACTTCTATCTTCTAAGTGAGGACAGCCCTAAAAAAGACACTGTGTTATCTGGTGTCCTCAGGCACCACAGAAGCCCATGTACTGTCCTGTTTATGAAGGGTTCCTTACTCAATAAGAACTTGATGCCCATGTGATGCCCTGGGCATCTTATTAAGAGATAGTGCACCTCATGTGCTCATGACATGGTTTCTTTTTTTATCTCCTACTTCTCTTGTCTTCACATCTGCCTGTTCTCTCCTTCTGTGAAGCTGTGGCTCTTCTTCACCTCCAGCTAGGAAGCTTAAATAAATCGCTCCATTTCCTCCAGCTGCATGAAACTGTCCACAGTTAATCTGGCCATGCCTGGTTTTAGGAGGAGATGAGGTCACAGAAGCCAAGCTTCTACTGCTGTAATGTCCATAGGCTTCTTTGATTTTCTTGTTATTCATTGCTATTTTCCATGATATGCATCATATTTGTAATCACCTCCAGAAAGAGAAGGCAGGAAATAAAAGGGTAACTGAGATATCTTCAATGCAGTCTCTTTACCAACATGTAGGGAGGCCTGAGAGAAACATGTGGCATATTTTAGCAGAGAAGCATTACTATTACCAGAACGGAAGGAATGGAGAGAAGCTATAGGAATTCAGAATTCCTTGTAGGTACCTGTAGTTGTGGGATCAGGTCACTGGGAAGGTAATGTTGTTTTACTCAGGCAGGGTTTCTATGGCTCTGTCAATTTGCAGCCTAACACAAACACACACACACACATACACACGCATGCACGCACGCACACACACACACATGCATGCACACCGACAGACAGACAGACTGACAGACGGACTGACGGACAGACAGACATAATCAGACAAAATCAGAGTGAGATTGAGAGAAAAAGAGAGAGAATTAAAAGTAAAGCAAATAAAACAATATACACAACAGCAAGCTGCTCCCTGACTACAGTCAATATGTGGCTTTACCCATGTAAAATGGGAATTCAGACTGACTCAGAACCCACTGACAAGGCACAGTGATATTTTTTTGCCTGGATGCAGATGAGTGTGAAGAGAAAACATAAGATACTAATAGAAAATGTAATAGTTTATGTCATTATGGAGCTGACAAAGTGTGTATTTACAAGAACTTTCTCTATCACAGTTGACAAACTGGCTTTTCCTATTAAAGTTCTACTAGTTTGCTTTTGTCTTCTTACCAATTGTCACTTTTGTGGAATGATCTTACTGCCATGATAGCTACCTTGAGAATGGAAGGAAGTGAATAAAATGGGAGTACATAGGTATTTGTGTTTTGAATCAATTACACCATGGGGTAAATTTCTGTATATATGAAGAGGGGCTAAAAGGAGAGAAGAAGTTTGTTAGGCCTTGACACACTTCGGAAGAACTTCTCTCATCTGCCTGGCTCCACCTGACTCTGAAATGGATCAGCATTCTGGTTTGAGAAAGAGGAATCTGTGAT